ATTGGGGCACTGGGGCCCGGGATTTAGCTCAGTGGTGCTGCTGCCTGCCTCTCAAGTGCAAGGTTCTGAGTTTGATCCTCTGTACCAAAAAAAAAAAATAATAATAATAATAATACACTGTCATAGCTTTCACTGGATGGTTAATATTTTGCCATATTTGCTTTGTCTGCATGTTGTGCACTATTTCTCTACTGTTTAATGTCCATACAACACATCGCACCTAAATACTTCCACATGTGTCTTCTAATTTCTCCCATGTCAGAATTTCTCAATTGTTTCAATAGTGTTCTTCACAGCAGGTTTTTTAGTTTGTTGTTGTTGTTTTTGTTTTATTCATTTAGGACCCAATAAAGGGTCACTTTTTATATTAACTTGTTTTTTTAGTTTCCTTGTTTTGTTTCGTTCGTTTTTGAGACAGAGTCTCACCATATAGTCCAGGGTAGCCTAGAACACACTACACAGCCCAGGCTGGCTTCAAACTTGTGATTCTTCTACCTCAGCCAGAGTGCTGGAACTACAGGCATGAGCCACCATGCACAGCCTCCTTAGTGTCCTTTAAATGTTTCCCACTTGGGAGAGGATGAAGAAAGTTCTTTGGTGACAAAAAGTTATGTCAAGCAGAGTACTGTGGCTAAAGCCAGCACTGTAGCAGTACAAATATCTGGTAACAGATGCACTCTCTTCTTACCTCTTTTTATTTTTTTTATTGTGGTGGTAGTGCAAGGGATTGAACCTAGGGCCTTGTACATGGTAGGCAACCATTCTACCACTGAGCTACATCACCTAGTCCCTCTACTTTGAATTTTTAAAGACTGATATTTTGTGTGTATTACTTCAGTCATCCAGTAATTTAAATTAACAATAAATAGTTTTAAGACTGCTTTTAGAAATGTAATGCTGAGTAAAAGAAGTTTTAACTTATAGACTTGGGGCTTGCCAAAGGAAGTTTATCTCATATGACATATAAACATTCAATCATAAACTATGCATCTTATTTCTTTGTTTTTTTTTCTTGGTACCAGGAAGCAAACTCAGGACTTTGCGCTTGCCAGGCAGGCGCGGAACCACTGAACTAAATCCCGGCCCTGCATTTTATTTCTTAAAAAGCATTTCACATGATATAATAAAAGTCATACTATTTAAATATTTTTATATTAGGCTACACATTTGAATGTCCTGTTTTAGTTACAAAAAAATGCTTCCTTGAAAATTTCTGGTAGATTTTTCATCTAGTGTTGTGTCCTTTGATACAGAGTTTATATGGTAGTGGAAGATTTTTTTTTTTTGTACCAGGGATCGAACTCGGGTCCTTGCGCTTGCAAGACAGGCAGCGTAACCACTGAGCTAAATCCCCAGCCCTAGTGGAAGATATTTAGAGAGTAGTAAAATAGGATGTTAGAAACTTTTAAACTGTGGTAATGTTACCTTACAGAAATGTTTTTGGTCATGAATTCCTCAGATGTTAACCTTGGTAAACCTAATTCATCCATCTATCTATCCTTCCTTCCTTTCTTCATTCCCTCCCTTCTGCCCTGGCATCGAACCCATGGGCATTCTACCTTTGAGGTGCATCCTTAGTACTTATTTTTTATTTCGACCTGGCTTTGCTAATTTTTCCAGCTTGGTCTCAAATATGTGATCCTTCTGCCTCAGACCCTCCCACATAGCTGGGATTATAGGCATGGGCCATCACTCCAGGCACTATTTGTTTTTAATACATATGTCATGCAAAACTCATTTCACTACTTACTTTCCTTTAGATGGTGAGGAGAAAACCTATGGTGGCTGTGAAGGCCCTGATGCTATGTATGTCAAATTGATATCTTCTGATGGTCATGAATTTATTGTAAAAAGAGAACATGCACTAACATCAGGAACAATAAAAGCCATGTTGAGTGGCCCAGGTAGGTACAGTTCCTTGTTTTCCGTTATGCATCTTTTGTTTGTTGAAGGTGTTTTTTTAAGTTGAATCAAATGACTCTTAGGGTTTAAAATGAGAGTTTCTCTTCTAATATTATTGCATGATTATATTGATTGGGAAAAAAACTGGCTTCTGCCATTTTCTGAGTCATGATTTTTGTTCTAGTTATATATAAAGTTTATAGAAGTCATCACCTCCCAATCTGTATTTTTAACCTTTTTTTTCTTGAAATAAAATTTTGTAACCTTAAAAATTCACATAAAATTAAGTTTTAAAGTTAACAATTCAGTGGCATATACTGCATTCAGTGTTGTGCAACCATCACTTCTAATTCCAAGACAGTTTCATCACTCTGGAAGGAAACTCCGTGCTCATTAAGCTATCATTATCTCTTCTGTCCCTACCAATATTCAGTAACTATCAGTCTGCTTTTTTAATTTCCCTGTTCTGGATATTTCACACAAATGAAATCATAAAATATATGTGTCTGGCTTTTTTTCACTTGGCATTGTTTTTAGGGTTCACCCATGTAGTGGTAGCATGTATAGTAGTACTGCAGTCCTTTTTATGGCTAAGTAATAGTATATTGGGTGACTATGCCACATGTTCTTTATCTGTTCATTAGTTGATGAATTTTTGGGTTGTTTCCACCTTTAGACTATGTTGAATAGTGCTGGTCTGAACATTTATGTATAGGTTATTTGTTTTCATTTCTTTGGCATATATTCCTTGTAGTGGAATTGCTTAATCATTCATACATTTACCTTCTAGAGGAACCACCAAATTATTTCCACAGCAGATGAATCATTTTCTGCTCTTACCAATAGATAGCATAATAGGGTTTTTATATGTCTTGGCCAATATTTGTTATTGTCTCTTTTGCTTTTGGGGTTTTTTTTTTTCCTTTTTTTTCCTTTTTCCAGTACTGGGGATTGAACCTAGGATCTTGCAGTATCACTGTGGTACATCCCCAGCCCCACCCCCCCCTTTTTAAAAGCAAAACCTTTATTGGTACATTTTAGATATACATAATGATGACATTCATCATGAGGAATTTGTACCTGTACATGATATATCTTGCTTCTTTTTTTCCTATCCCCCTCTTTGACCTCTCTTCCCCTTCTTATTTACAAAAGCTTTGTTTCCATTTTTTCCTTCTATTCCCTTTTTTCCCTTGTCCTTTCTTCCCCCTTATCCCTTCTCTTGTTCTTTCTCATTTGAACATTTTCTTCCCATTTCCCAATATCTATACATTTTAATCCTTATTTCCACTTAGGGTTTCTCACACCAGGGAAACAATGTGGTATTTAAACATATGTATCCCATTTATGTCACATAAGAGTATGGTCTCAAGGTGCATTCATTTAGATAGAAGTGTCTCAAGCTTATCCTTCTTTATAGCTGAGTAGTACTCGTATAAAAAAACCCACATCTATCAGTTTGTCACTCGATTGGTGTTTGGGCTGTTTCCAAGATTTAGCTATTACAAACTATGCTGGCTATAAACATGGGTCTGCATATGTCACTGTGGTATGATGCTTTTAATTCTTTTGGGAAGATACCATGAAGGGGAATAGCTGGGTCAAATAGAACCTCAAGTTTTAATTTTTTGAGGAATCTCCACCCTGATTTCCACAGTGGTTGCACCCACCTACACTCCCACTAACAGTGGTTCCATTTTCCCTACAGCCCCACCAGCATTTGTTATTGGTTGATTTCATGATAGCAGCCATTCTTTCTGGGGGAAGTGGAATCTTAGCATTATTTTAATTTGTATCTCTTGAATGACCAGTGATGTTGAACATTTTTTTAAAAATTAATGTATTAATTACATTTTTTTTTTTCTTTTGGTACCAGGGATTGAATTTGGGACCTTGCACTTGCAAGGCAGGCGGCAGAACCACTGAGCTAAATCCCCGGCCTGAACATTTTTTAACGTATTTATTTGCTGTTTCTATTTCTTTGTCTGAGAGGTGTCTCTTCATTTCAAATGCTCATTTTTGGATTTGTTCTTTAAATTTGGGGGGGGGGGCTCCTGATTTTTTTTTTTAGTTCTTTATGTATTCTGGATATTAGTCCTTTGTCTGAGGAACAGCTGGCAAAAATATTTTCCCATACCATGGGTTGTCTCTTCACTGTTGGTGGTTTCTTTTGCTGTGCAGAATCTTTTTTTTTTTTTTTTTTTTTTTTTTTGGTACCAAGGATCGAGCTCGGGCCCTTGAACTTGCAAGGCAGGTGCCAGAACCACTGAGCTAAATCCCTGGCCCTGCAAAAGCTTTTTAATAAGATCCCAGTTGTTGATTCTTTGTGCTAGTTCCTGTGTGATGTTTTGTTCATAAAGTCTTTGCCTACACCAATGTCTCCAAGAGTTCTACCTATTCTATCTTCTAGGAGATTTAGTGCTTCTGTTTTAATATTTAGATCTTTGAACCATTTTGATTTTAGATTAGTGCGTGGTGAAAGATATAGGTCTAGTTTCAGTCCTTGGCATGTGGAAAACCAGTTTCCAGCACCATTTATTAAAGAGGCGTCTTCCAGTGAAGGTGTTTGGCTTCTTTGTCAAAGATAAGGTCACAGCCCTTTTTCATTTTAGTTTTGCCAATGGATATAAACTGATATGTCATTGTGGTCTGATTTGTTTTTGCATAATAACTTACAATGTTGAATGTCTTTGTGTGCCTTCCGGCTATCTGTGTATCTTTGAGGAATGCTCAAGCCTTTTGCCCAGAAGCATTCTACCACTGAGCTGTACCCCATCCCTGACTGTCGTTTTGCTGATGGTGTCATCTGGAGCAGTAAACAATTAAATTTTTAAATTTTGATGAAGTATGATTTATTTATTTTTCTATTTTATTTTTCTTTATACTTCCAAATCCAGTATATATCATCAGAATTTCATGAAGCTAGATGCCCCTAAATTTTCTTCTAATTTTATGGGGTTAGCTCTTTAATTTTTGTGTATGATGTGGGATAATTGTTCAGCTCTATTCTTTTGCATATGAATATCCACTACCGTTTGTTGAAGAGACAATTTTTTCCCTTTTGAATGGTCTTGGCACCCTTGTTTAAAATCAGTTGACCATAGATGTGTGTGGGTTTATTTCTCAGCTCTTGATTCTATTGATCTATATGTTTATTCTTTTACTGGTACCACACTGTTCTGATTACTGTATCTTTGTACATGCCTGCCTTGCAACCACAAGGTCCTGAGTTCGAGCCCTAGTACCGCAAAAAAAAAAGAAAATAAAAACCAAAAACTTTAATAGTTATTAATATTTTGTCCATCATATCTCACTTCACCTACTGTCCGTACCTCTCCCCTCTTTTTTAGTATTTCAGTCATCTCTGGCTTCGTCATAGTTCTCATGTACCTTTTTTATATAGACTATCAGGTTTTCAGAGAAACAAGGTCATTTATATAAGGTCCACATTTTAAATAGATTTAATATTTCCTTCTGTACACTCAGAATTGTAGAGATTTGGCCAGGGATGTAGTTCAGCAGTAAAGCATCTGCCTGGCAAGCACAAGGCCCTGAGTTCAATTCCCAGTACAAAAAAAAAATAGTAGAAATTTGATTAGATTCTGCTTCTTATTTCTAGTCAAAGATACTTTATAAGTGCTACCTTTTTTTTTTTTTAGTTTTTTGAGACAGGGTCTCGCTCTTAGTTCAGGCTGGCCTCAAACTTGAATTTCTCCTGCCTCAGCCTCCGGAGTGCTGGGATTATAGGCCTGTGCCATCATCCCCAGCTATAAGTGCTACTTTTGTAATCCCTTAACCTGTGGAGGCTTTTAATTTTTTAGTTTTTTGCCTTTTTTTTTTGTTCTGTTTTGTAGTTTGGGAAATGGGGCTCAGCACCTTGTGCACTAACTGTATTCCTGTTATATCACATCTTTTAGCAATGTCCAGATTGGTAAGTAGGCTCCAGTATTGTCAGACTGATTCACCCATGAAACTCCCTACTCTGACTTTCATATAATGATTTTGGCATTTACTGTGACTATTGTGATTCACTTCATTTGTGATTATAAAATGATGATTTCAGGTAATCCTGTAATTGCTTCTGCCTTTATTGGCTAGAATCATCCTATAAAGAAATATTTGACTATCCCAGGCAAAGTAGCGATTGCCTATAATCCCCAGCACTCTGGGAGACTGAGGCAGGAGGGTTGCAATTTTAAGCCTAGTCTGGGCAAATGAGTCATTTAGCAAGATCCTGATTCGGCATGAAAAATAAAAAAGGGCTGAGGATGTAGCTCAGTGTGAAGATTTTGGGTTCAATCCCCAGTACCACCAAAAAAACTCTTTAACTATTTTGATTACTTTGAAGTACAGTCTATCTATATAAAGACACAGTTTAAAGATAAAATAAATGTTTGCTGCTGCTTCCTCCTCCTCCTTTTCTTTCTCTTCCTCTCTGCCTCTTCTTCCTTTCTCTTCCTCCTCTTCCTCTTCTTCCTTCATTTTGTTTTTATTTTGTTTTATTTTTTTCTTGGTACTGGGGTTTGAAACCAGGGCTTTCATAGTGAGCTACAACCCAGCCCTTTTTAAAATTTTTATTTTGAAGTGGGATCTTGCTAAGTTGTCCAGGCTGGACTAGAACTTGGAATCCTTTTGCTTTAGCCTCCCAGAGTGCTAGCATTATAGGCCTGTGCCACCATGCCTAGGTTAGTGGAGATGTTTTAGTTTTTGAGTTTTGGTATTATGAACTCATAACTTTAATATTTAATGTTTTTTCAATCCATTGCCGTCATTCTTGGGGGTTCACTATGATGTCTGCCCAGGCTGGCCATGAACTCCTAGGCTCAAGAAAACCTCCTACCTCAGCCTCCCCAGGATCTGGGAATACAGTTGCATTCCACTCTACTTGGTGCAGTCATTCTTACTGATGCTGAAATTGTTCACTTTTTATGCCAGAAAGAGCCATATCGGTTTGGTTCTTACATCCTTTTGACGTGGTATCACTAGTCTTGGATAGCTGTACTACTTTCTGTAATAAGATTTCATAGGTTTTTCCTGTACAGTATTCCTCAATCCTTAAAGCAGGTGTTTTTTCAGAGTCCTGAGTGCTAGGGGGATGCACTGCTCTGGGTACTTATTTATTTAGTGCGAGGAGTTGAACACAGGGCCTGACACATGCAAGGAAAGTGCTCTACTACTAAGCTACACTCTCTCCCCACCCCCCATTCCCTTTGACACAAGATCTCGCTAAATTTAAATTGCCCAGCCTCAAGTTTGAGATCTTCCTAGCTCAGCCTCCTGGGTACCAGTTCATCCTGCTGATTTTAGGCTTTCATGCTGGACAATGCTAAGAATTCCTTTAGGGGGGAAAAAATCACAATTGCCAACAAAATTTTAAATTAAAATTAAAGGAATTTCCTTTATTTTAAAAACAAGTTTTATCTGGGAAGGAACAGGAAACCATTAAGTCCAAAAAGATTGTTTGCATAAAACAGAATGAAATAGGACCAGGGGTACAGCTCAGTAGTAGAGCACTTGCCTAGCATGAACAATAGCCTGATTTCAGTCCCTAGTATTGCAAAAATGGGGGCTTGTGGGGAAGTATGGCATGCTACAATATGAATGCATTTCCAAAACATGCACACTGAAAGAAAGCTGACACTTAATATGATTTCATTTGCATGAAATATCCAGAATAGGTAAATCCGTATGGATAGAAAGCAGATTGGTGTTTGGCAAAGCCTGGAGAAAATGGGAATAACTGCTTCATGGTTTATGGTTGTATTTTGGCTTAATGAGAATATTTTGGACCTGAGGCAAGAGGATTGCAAGCTCAAGCCCAGCCTGGGCAACTTAGTGAGACCCAGTTTCAAAAATAAATAAATAACAAGTACTAGAGAAGTAGCTCAGTGGTCGAGTGCCCTGGGATTCAATCCCTAATCCTGCAAAAAAAGAAAAGTAGTTTTGGAGCTCGGTGGATGCTATGGTTGTACAACACTAAATGCCACAGAGTTCTATACTTTTAAAATGGTTGATTATGTTTTATGAACTTTGCCTTAACAAAGAAAAACTATCTAGTATTAGAGGCTAATAAGTACCTGTTGGTAATATTTCATATGTATATTTAAGAAAGGGGAGTTTTAGTTACAGGCAAACCAGAATTTACTTCATTGTGAATTGTTTGCTGGGTGCTGACCTCTTCCTTTCATACCCTCGCCCACATAAAAGAAGGTATAGAACTTAATACCACATTCTCAGAAAATGTATTTTTAGATATGAAATGCTTTTTGTATTCATTACACGGTGCCACTACTAGAATGCTAAACATTTTGGCCCTGTGAGTAAAGGCTAAACAATGTTACATATGTGGCTAAAAATAATTTGATGGATGTCTGAAAACTATGAGGTGCTATTAAGCAAAGAGAAGATCCTCATGAGGATATACTATTAACATGAGCTTTTTTATTCTTTGGCAATGTTGAATCTAGAGTCACTCTACCACTGGGGATTTAGCTCAGTAGTCCCACTGCCTGCCTTGCAAGTGCGAAGTCCGAAGTTCAGTCCCCGGTAGGAGAAAAAAAAGTATAGAGTCACTCTACCACTGAACCACACCCTCAGCCCTTTTTATTTTTATTTTTAGTTAGGTTCTCACTAAGTTGCCCAGGCTGGCCCTGCTCATAAGCGGATTTTTTTATTTTTTTATTTTTGTGGTATTGGGGATCAAACTCGGGACCTTGCGCTTGGGAGGCAGGCAGAGACACCACTGAGCGGAATCCCCAGCCCATAAGCATATTTCGTAAAACTAAAGGAGAAAATAGTGGATTTCCTTGCCAGAGCGATTTTTTTATTAATAGTATTTCTTGGGCTCAGTGGTAGAGCATGCATTTAGCATGCACAAGGTCCTGGTTTCAGGCCCCAGTGCCAAGAAAGTATTTCTCATTATTTAATACTTTATATATTCACTCACTGCCAGAAAGCCAAGCCAGAAAATCTGTTATTTTCTGTGACATTATTTTTATGTAGTAATTCAGTACAACATAGGACTCCTGGTAGTTTGTGAAGACTCGATTCCCTGAACTGAATCTTCTAAAAGAATGATTTAGCTTTTTTTCCATCCTTCTCACCTCTCAGTAATCAGACCACCAACATTCTTAGGACAAGCTGTTTAAGTTTTTCGCCTATGGGGGTAGAATTAGAATTTTAAAATTCAGTCTTGATGAATCTCAAATTCTGTCTTAATGAAGTTTTTTGTGTTGTTTATACTCAGAAATCAGGTAATTTGTGAGTTGCCATGTGGAGTTGTTTGCTAGGACTGCCATAGCAAAAGACCATGGACTGAATGGCTTAAACAACAAGACTGTCTTCTCACAGTTCTGGAGTATAAGATTGAGGTTGAAAGTGTTGACAGGTTGATTTCTTCTGAGGCTCCTCTCCTTGCTGATGTATATAGTCCTCTCCCTGTGTCTTCACACAGTCTTCCCCTGTACCTGTCTGTGTCCTAATTTGTTCTTGTGAGATCAGTCATATCAGACTGCTACCCAGAGACTTCACTTCAACTTAATGAAATCTTTAAATAAAGTCACATTTTGAGGTACGAGGTGCCTCCATCATAGGAATTGGGGTGGGGGCACTGTTCAGCCCATAACATACAACAATCCTTTTGTTTTACAGGTCAGTTTGCTGAAAACGAAACCAATGAGGTCAATTTTAGAGAGATCCCTTCACATGTGCTTTCAAAAGTCTGCATGTATTTTACCTACAAGGTTCGCTACACTAACAGCTCCACCGAGATTCCCGAATTTCCCATCGCACCTGAAATAGCACTGGAACTGCTGATGGCTGCGAACTTCCTAGATTGTTAAATAAAATAAATTATAATAAACTGTTAATTTTTCAGTATTTAATACTTGTAGTTCAGTTAGTAATTTTTTCATATATAGCATGTTGCCTGTATGCAATTGAACTGTAAAGTTAATTGCAAAGCAGATTATCTTGTTTTTTTGCATAGCAATCCGTTGAAATTTGTTTACCACATCAGCAAATTAAGGACATTTTCACAAACAAAAATAAACAGATATGCCAATTCGTAGGTGGTTTTGCCTTATCTTTTGGATGTAACTTTTAAATTAGAATGATGATGATATAGCAAATGCTGATTGTAGGCATAAATGAACATGTTCTACAAGTAAATAATGGGACTAAATATTTTAATGGTTTTAGTGTTTTTCTTTAAAGTTCTCATCATAGCTGCTGATAGTATTTCTAGAGTTATGCAAATAATTACATGATAAACATGTTTATAACTTAGTCAAAACATTTTTTATAACTAAAAGAATAAGAGTTTTTCTTAAATGTGTATTTTATAAACTGCAGTATTGTTTAAGTGTATTGTGTTTTGTTTATTGCTACAATTTAAGAACTTAATTTAAAAGCAATTTTGGAATGTTACTAGGTATAACTTTTGGGACCGTAACTGTTTGAATTGTAGCCAGATGGTCAGCAAGTAAACTACATGACTTAAGAGTTCTGTGTATTGTGCGTTTTGGGCAATCCAAAATGCTGTATTTTCATTTTACTATAAAGCTCCCTTTATAATTTTCATTCTTCCCTCATAGTCCTTTTTGAGTATATTTCTACTTGTTTAAATGTGTATTAAAACACTGACTAGGAGCTTTATCTAAATCTTAAAACCAGGCAGTTCTAATCTTCCTCCACCCAACTGAAATGTTACCAAATAAAAACATGGAGAGATGCAATGAAAATTTTATAATATACTTAGATATAGTACACAAATTATCTTCTAATAAAATAAGTTCCAATATATATAGTACCATAATCAGTTTCTAAAATAAAACTCATATAAGAAAGTCATTCAGCTTTTATATTAGACAAAAAAAAATTGGAAAACTAAAAGCATCTTTATTTAGACATGGGATAAGTTGCACTGGAATTGAATTTAGAGTTGTCTCTGCCTTAGAACAAAGCTGTCATTATAACATTTGTAAATTTAAATCTTCAGTTTATTTCTTATTAAGACAAGCCTAAGCTGGCCAGGATAGCACACACACCCATAACCTCAGCTATTTGGGAGGATCATAAGGTTGCAGCCAGTCTGGGCAGCTTTTTAAGATTCTCAAAACAGAAAATACAAAAAAAAAAAAGACTTGGAATGAAGCTCTATAGTAGGACACTCCTAGGTTCTATCCCCAGTACCACCAAAAAACTCAAAACTACAACATAAACTAGCTTAATATAGACCAGCTTTTTCTGGAAATTAAAAAAAAAAAAAAAACACAAAAGTAGTAATTTCCTCTTAGAAAATCCAGTACTTTCCAGCTAATTGAAAGCAGTTAAGTATAAGTTGTGTATTTTTAGTAAGTTTTTAAGACATACTGATATGTACTTCAGTATAAAAGATTATCAAGTATAATATATTATGGGGCTGGGGATGTTAATTCTGTGGTAGGCACACAAAAAATAGCTTGCTACTTGGTAGCAAAAATATCAGTTATAAACCTAAATGATTTCAAAGGGGGATAGCTAGAAATAAAGTTTTAACTTTGACTAATTTTTGTAGATAATTTATGTGTTGGATCCAGAAGTAACTTTATAGGATATTAAAACTGAAAAGACTAGGCAGACCTATCTGCTTTGCAGCAAATGGCATGTTAGTTAATAAAGTCTATATTGATGGAAAGATACGACAAACACTTGGTGTTTGAACTTTTTAGCCTTGTCTTTTTTCAAGAAAAATTCATGCAACCTTTTGCTTCAGAATATCTTGCCATATGATACGGGAATTACTGTTTAGTCAAATTTAACGTAATTTATATAGCAGTGAAACCTTACCCATTTTTAGACTCATAGTAATTAACTTATTTTTTAAATTATGTGTAAATCTTCCCCCAATTTTTTCTGTACAAAAAGTATTACAAAATCATTATTCAATTAATATTTTATTACTGCATTGTCTAGGTTATGCTTTTTAAATTATCTTATGCAGTAATTAAGTCACCTTACTTTTGATGATACTTGTTAACATCAAAGATAGCATTTATGTTTCAGTAAATTCAGCTCATTCTGAAATACATTTAGACATCTTATGCATCATGTTATGCATGAATCTATCATCTCAGTGCAAATCATTTTGCTGTTTGTTGATTCTTTGCAAAGAATACAAATATTCTGAGAAATAATACAAAATTACTGTTAAATATTGAAGTATGCAAACCCAAGTAATCACTATCTAAATAGAGGAAATTTCATACACATTAGCAAAGCTTGAATGTATCCAGATTTAGCAATGCTAAGATGAGCTCTGGTTAACTATCCAAGTTTGATAAAATACATAAGGGGGTTGAGGTTGGGGATATAGCTTAGCAGAATGCTTCCTTAGCATGCGCAAGGCTTTGGGTTCCATTCTCAGTATTGCAAAAAAAAGTAAAAAATCATTTAAAGTCTAGTACTCAAAAGATGCCATTGATTTTGTATAGTATTTTTGCAATATATAAATCTGGTTTAATAAGCTGGTCATATTTGTGCTGATATTTTGAATCCCTTGTAGGGTAACCTCTTAAAGATTATACTTCATGGTTTGTTGGTTTAAGGAAGTATTTATTAGCCTAGAACTATGTTGCTGTATCGGAGCACGGACCTGAAAATTAAATTCTAGATCTTGTGCTAACTAGTCACTTGAAAAGTCTGTGGGCCTCTGTTTCACATCTATAGAAGTAGGAGGTTACACATTTATAGGGTAATGTTTTGCCCCCTTTTGTAATGAACAAAGCTGTGACTATTGCTTAACCCCAAAATTACAACATAATCAGAATTAAGAACCAGAAAGTAGTGGGGTTTTTGCTGCTTCTACATTAGGCATTGTTACACATCAGAACCATGATTGGGACCAGGAATTTAGCTCAGTAGTTCTACCACCTGCCCCACAAGTGCAAGGACCCAATTTCAATCTCTGGTACAAAAAAAAAAACCACACAAAAAAACCCAGAACCATGATTAGGGTAAGGCACTTGCCTGCCTAGTATGTGTGAGGCTCTGGGTTTGATCCCTACAACCACTAAAAAAAATTAAGATGTTTGAGGTTACTTTTTACTACCTGGTATATATTTTAAAAATCTAGTTTTTAGCCCTGCTTGTCAGTAATGTTCTAATATAAAAGGAAATTTTTGTGCTGTGGTTCCACACCAGTATATTTAATGCCAAGTCAACCTAAAACTCATTTTTCATTCATACACTAGTTCATCCTGAACTAGATCTATTTATGATCCTATACTTACTTCATGTGTTTAGCTGAGAACATTAAATCTTTACAGTTCTAGAGACTGAACCCAGGAGTCGTCCATGCTAAGCAGGTGCTTTACTCTTGCTTCACATAACCAAGTCCACATTTTGTGTTTTTATGTGTTGTTCTCATGAAGGACATAGGCACATTAGAATTGAGGGCCCCCCGCTTTATGATATAACTACTTCCTTTTGCTTTTGTTAATTTTTGTGACAGGTTCTTGCTGTGTTGCCCAGACTAGGCTCAAATCATGATACTCCTGCCTCAGCCTTTCCAGTAGCTGGAATTACAGGTACATGCTTTCGTGCCTGGCTCAGTTTTTAATACAAAAACATTTTGCTCTATTTGACCTAGATATATTTTACGTGTGAAAATTTTTATGAGAGACTATATTGCTTTATTATTTAGAAAAGCATGTTTAAAATGACAGGATAAGAAAAATTCAAAATAGGTGACTTTCTCTTCCAATAGTCCAAGGTCACAAAATAATCTGCAGTGAGATACTAGATCTAGACTTGAGTTCTGATTTATTAAAACAAAAATGAGCCAGGTATGATGTATGCCTGTAATCCCAGCACTCAAGATGCTGAAGCAGGAGGGTCACTATGTATTGGAGGCCAGCCTGGGCTACATAGTGAGTTCAAGGCCAGTCTGAACTACATAGATCCTATCTCAAAACAAAAATAAGGCCAGGGATTTACCTCAGTGGCACTGTGCCTGCCTCAAAAAGCACAAGGTTGTGAGTTTGATCACCAGTACAAAACAACAACAAAAAATAAGATGCTTAGATTATACAGAAAACAGTCATCTTTGTTAAAATATTGAAATAATATATAAAATATTAAAATGGTGAGATGTAGGTAGGGAGTTAATATGTGCTTGTAACCTACATACCTTTAAAAAAATTTTTTTCTTCTTATACAAACATCACCCTTTACTTAGTAGGGCTGTTTGTTGCTCAAAATGTTTCTAGAACTGCCCTTTAGAGGTTATCACTGGAGGTGGGGCCCAGCCATGGCTGTTCTTCTGAACAGCCTGACTAGTGGGAAATGCTTTTCTTTTAAGTATTTTACAATAATTAATGAATGTTTTTTATCTAACCCTACAGAATACAGGTGAGTGGCCAGGCTGAGGCAGGAAGAAGGGACAGAACTAAAGGAATTAGAGCAGCTTTATAATGCAGCCAGTACCCAAGCTTGCATAGCATGTCATGTCACAGAACCAAATTTAAAACTGCAAGATTAGCCTTGGAAATAAAAGTATAGTAGTTAAATTGTTTTTTAAACAAATATTTTAACAAAAATATTCCTTTCTGGTATATCTGTGAAAACCCTACTCAGTTTTCTTTGTTAAAGTGGTCACCAAGCATTAGCTTTGTTAAAGGATAGCTGCATCAAGCCAGGAATGGTGCATGTGTGTAATCCCAACAACTCTGGAAACTGAGGCAGTAGACTCACAAGTTTAAGGCCAACGTGGGCCACTTAGCAAGACCCTGTCTAAGTGTAGGAGGGGTACTGGAGTGGCCCCTAGGTTCAATCCCCAGTACCACAAAATAAAAAATTTTAAAGGCTAGGGTTGTAGTTAAGTAGTGGAATGCTTGCTTAGCAGGTGTAAGGTCTTGGATTCAATCTCCAGTACTGAACAAAAAGAAAAATTAAAGTTGAAATTCAAATGAATTTTATAAAACTGCTGTTTTATAACAGAAAACAAGATCTGTTGCTTTGCTCAAAGTACATGGATTTAAGCAGTATTCCTGTTCTGGGCTACTTGAGAGGTTGAGGCAGTAGGATGGCAAATTTGAGTCCAGCCCAGCCAACTTACTTTGTCTCTAAAAAATTTTTTAAAGAACAGAAGTGTAGCTCAGTGGTAGAATGCTTTGCTAGCATGAGGTCAGTCACCAGGACGGTGCATGTGTGCACCAACACACAAAATAGGTGTGGTGGTGCACACCTGTAATCCCAGCACTCTGGAGACTGAGGCAGGAGTGCCGTGAGTTCAAGGTCAGTCCATGAAGTTACAGGGTCTAATGTGTTGGAATGGCTATACTAGAGTAAGAAGCCAAAAGTTATGAAACAATTCAAAATTATCTGACTTGTTTTTAAATGAAACTTTGCATCAATTTCCTGGTGGCAGTTTTTGTCCGGTGCATACCTTCTAAAGACTAATCTGTAAGACAGACGGAATGGGGAGGGGGTGTTTGGGGTTTTTGAGGTGGTAGTTATCTCCCCTAGTGTCTAGCACAGCGTTAAACACACTCAATAAATGTTTATTAAACTAAATCAAACTCATTGGTGTAAAGATGTCT